AGATCATAAAGGAATAAATAAATGGGTGAGATAGAAGACGCGTTAGGTGTAAACAGTTTCAACGTATTGTGTTCTGCCTTTGCAATACGTTTTGTATGATCAGAAGACGTACACCGGCCATTAAAAAACAACGTTCTTCGTTTTCCAGGAGTCTCTTGCAAGGTTAGTTTCAATTCTCACAAAAGAATTGTTCATTTCTCACCATTTCCAAATTTCATATCACTGATACCTTAGGAACGTGATTTTTAAGTCGCAGGGTGATGAAAGGGCCATGTCAAGAATAGTCAAACAAATTTTCAATAATGCTACAGTTCTAACATGTGGTAGATGAGTAACTAGACCAAGACCATGGGAGAGAATGAAGGAAAGAGAGTGAGAGTTTACGTGGAGAAACGAGATTGGGAGCAGAGGTAACGTGAGGAGGGTGTTGGCAGCGCTAGTTAAGGCAAAGCCGGAGCAGAAGAGCCAGGGGTGCCAGCCAGCTCGCCTCCTGTTAGTTGGCCAGTGCCCACAGTGCCACCTCCCAACTATCACACACACACACACACACATATATATATATATATATATATATATATATATAAGTAAATCACTGTAGGTGCGCGTGATATATGATATATATATATATATATATATATATATATATATATATATATATATATATATATATATATATATATATATATATATATATATATATATATATATATATATATATATATATATATATATAAACACAGTTATACATCACCCAACCGTACAATTACATAACTGCAGGACTAAGTGAGCCAAAGAACCAAAAAACGTGATAATCATAAAACTGCCATATACTAGGCTCTCATTCACAAAGGCTTATACAGTATACATTTGTATTCTTCTTGACACGGGATGAATGAACGAATCTAGTTTGACAAGGAGTAATTGTAGTTTCAACACAATTTTGATCTTCATTTTTGTATCATGTCAACCAGTTGACAGTTCTTCACATCTCCAGATACAGGAAAAAAATAGCAAATGAATTCGGGCCTTAAATGGCTCAATTAGGTAATTGTTGACACAATGGGTGGCAACTGTGTAAGTGTGAAAGTGGCATGTAATGTCTCGTTATAACCACATTCTTAAGCATATAAACAAGAAAAAACGTTCCTTTAAACTATGATAATGTTCTGATAATATTCTCATTTATTTTTCTTATGGTTTCCTCTGACAAACAGAACTAGCCTGTATTATCACTCATGGGCGGCGGTGGCCAACATCACACCTGCATCAGAAATGACCACGATTTAAAATGTAATTATAATCCTTTTTCAGCGGCCAACAAGCTCTCTACTGTAGCTGAAGACGAACGGAATGTTGAAATTAGAAACATAACACAAGGCGAGAACTACAGACAGAAGTGCATAAAAACCTGAAATATGTCGGGTGACTTAAATCGTTCTGAAGAATAAAACGACATGGATCCTGCCAAGCCTCCAGACAACATAAATACAGCCAATGACGATGCTGTTTAAACTCTCCATATAGGTTTGATTCAACTTGTTTTAATCTAACTTCTCTCTATAAACCGGTTCGAGACACACACAGGATTTAACAAAACTACCGAACATTGCATTAATGCAGGAGATTATAACGATAAAAGTCCTGCCTACTGCCGAGTAAGATTCTATTTAGTTTATTACAAAGTTAGGTTGGGCAGAATGGTATAACTATAAATCAACATTAAAGCATAATTAAGTACCGCCTGGAAAAAATATGAGTAAATAAATACATCCGACCTTTCAGCCTTTAATACAACAGGCTAACATGGCCCAAGTAACAGAAAAGTTCAAGTGGCAGCTTAGTCAGTTAACTTTAAAAGTTCACTTGCTGAGACAGGTTCGTGGACACATGTTGACCAACGGGCCTGGTAGATCAGAGTACTAAGTGTAAAGTTCACTCTCAGAAAGAAATTTGGTGCAAGATATTAGGAAACTGCATCAAGACCAAATAACGGTTTGAATTCAGCAAGGGCAGCAAGACAAGCACCAACCTCAAGGTGCTGGTGCCACACGTCACTACACCAGCACTGTGCCAGGTAGCTGCCCCTCATCTCCCCCCTGAATAGTTATTCTACAAGGCCTCAATAATATTCTTCAACTTGATTTGTCGAAAAACGGATTGACTTACTACCTAACCGACCTGTAATAATTTAATGTGTGGATTTGTGTATCAACAAAGATTTCCACATCCCTAAAAGTCCAAACTCGGCCATTCTCTTTGTGGATTTGACACGTCGTTTGTTCGCCTATATTTATGTGAAGTGGGTTCCATATGCATGACAGTGTGGATACAGCACACAAGAAGACAATACTGCCGGTACTGCACTCGACCGCCTGGGTGAACCGGGAATCAAACTACCGACCCCTGGAACAGGAGGCGAGTCTTGTGCCCACTCGACCACCACGATCTATGTACAGTAAATGATCGCAATCAAGTTCTATATCGACCTTATCCCAATGTACACAAGTCTTTCATCGCACGCAGTGTACCAGTGTACACACTCCTCCGGCCGGCTCACTATGCTCCCGCAACCACTAAATCTACAAGGATCTAAACTTTCAATGGCATCAATATGCTCTCCTCTAAACTGAAATTTAGTGTACAATACGACAATGAAATGTGAGAGGAAGCCTAAAATATCAAGACATCGACCTCCCTGGGCGGCTGGGAGGGGAGATCAAAGACGGGAGCACCATTACGAGGTATACCTCCCAAGGTTCAACAACGATACAATCAAAAGATAAAACACTGTGATGTATATCCAATGGGTAAAACACTGTGATGTACAGCCTATAGGTACAAGTTGGTTGAGTTACCTCCCCGGGTATAACCTGCTGGGGTGAGAAGTGAAAATGGACCCTTTCCAGTATAGTGGGCAGAGTGAACACAACACTTGTATACATTAATTAGCTTTCGGTAAACAGCGGGGCATTGTGACCGGTACTGTACTTAACAGCCTTCATTTCCCCCAACTGTAAATTTAAGCACCCATTCAGAGCTAAATGAAACCAGGTTTCCCGAGGCACGAGCCAGCGACCCTTTGGATAAGTACAGCTGTATCCCCTCACCTGTATACCCCTTGTCAAGGTACAGCGGTACCATAAATAAAGTGTATCTGTATGTATGTATGTGTTATACTAAATAGGGACAATCAATGATTGTTCTATAAACACCAACTGTCATTTTTACCAAATAGATAACTTTTTGTATCTTTGGCTACAACTTAAGAGGAAATTAATAAGGGGTAAAATTTACTGTTTCATTTAAGACGTCGTTTCCCATCATAAGACAACCAAATTATACCTAAAGTAGATTAGGTACGGTTAGATTAGGGTTACTAATACTATGAAACTATTCTTTTATCTGTATCATGATGATCTACAATTCTACTTGATCGTCTATGACCAGTACACGATCAAGCCGCTTTATATTACAATATTTCATCATTGATTCAATTTACTGACTCCCCACACAAAACACATTCCTCGCATTACAGTATATGCCGTACCTTAAAATTTCAAAGGCAAGACAAAATTTTGGAAAATGGAGACCCTCATGCAGGGTTCCTAAACATTTCTCACTAACATTCTTGCCAGGCATCAAAGGGGCTTATAGCTGAACGCATCTACAAATTGGAGACCTTTCATAATTTCACTTCTCAAACTGTCATTTGTTTAATTAAATAACTTCCAAGTTCAGTGTTTATACTATACTCGGTCTACTCCTGCTTCAAGTATACATATTGTTCTCATTATACTCACTACAAAATCTGCCAAACCAATTTACCGTTTAAGCAGAGGTATTTAATATTCAATTCATATGGCACGAACATAACACAGAATAACATCCACGAAAAACCAAAGTGACATACCATACCTAAGTATTAGTGTAATTCACACCACCATGCACTGACTCAGATATTCCTTCCTTTACAGAAACTCTTAGTAATATTCAAAGTCAACATTGGCAATACCTAATTTCAAGTAAAAAAGAAACAGCAACCAAAACTTTCTCGTAACACTACACACCCGCACACTACAGGCTCTTCCCTTCCTAAATTTTTCAGTCTTAACACGGTGTAGTTACGTTCGTCGCAAGATCTAACTCAATGGTATTAAAAATTAATTTCATTATAAAAAAGGTAAATCCCAATTATCCACGTAAAAATAAAAATCTGCAAATCATATTTTCTACCTTCACCTCCATCAGAAAATGACTCTTGTTGGCCTTTGTAATCGTTTTTTTTTTCTATGTAGATTAGTCTTCACATTGTTAATTGTGTCACCATTTGAAAATTTATTTATTTTGTTTATGTCTGTATATAAAAGAGAGAGAAGCCGGGCTGGGGAGCCAGCTGAAAATAGCCAAGCCGGTTGTGTGAGTGGAGGAGCCAACTTAGCAGCACCACCTGTGTGCCGGACCTCCCACTGCTCCTCCACCTCCCCAACAAATGCCAACATAGACTCATGAAGTACACTTGTTTCACAGTATAATATTACCCAACCTAACCCAACGTCTCCAATACCAATAAAAAGAACTTGAAGTGAGTCAAAGACGTCATCAGCAGACATGTTGCTGCAATATCTTACCAATATGTCGAGGGTTCAAGTCCTGCTTGGCCCAGACACACGTGAGAAGGGTGTTATCCGGTGAGACCCTACCAAACATACTATTTTAGATTCACATGTAAGAACTGTTGCAGTAATATTCTAATGTACGAGGTCACCAGCTAAGGGATTAGTCTAAACGCAGCCAAACGTTGCATCCAGCACCCCGACAGTTCGTCGCTCGCGTCCCCTCCCACCCAAGACATCACCGAAGTGCTTCTTGGGTGTGTGAGTGTGGGAGGTCACGTGATATGGGCGGCGTTGGAAGCAGGAATAAAACCATGAGACCTTTCTTTTATTTTGCACGAGAAACATAACAAAAGTGAGCACCGAGAGAGAACTTTATTAACTCACCAATTCTACGAGCTTGACAATGCCTGGGCCTGTCTTGAAGTACTGCAGGCAGAGTGATATCCCTGAGGACTTCTGTGGGGCGGCGTACGTCGGGGAGGTTGTTGTACTAGTCGTTGATACGTCCGACTTCGTGTGAGTTTCGGCCATCATGTCGCTATTTAGGGGTTGTTTAGGTTCTCCTCGTTGAATTTTTTATTACTCAATAAGAGTCACGTATAAACACAGACACGTCCACCGCCCTCACAAGTTCGTAACGCACTGGCTGGGGTTAGCTGAACTTACTCGTCTCGGTCCCCCACGCCACACACACACACTCACACACATCCCCCCCCCCACTTACCTCGTCACCTCCGTACGCCCCGCCCACCTGTGACACATAAACTACCTTTGTTGATATATACCGCTATCATCACGTTAATTCATTGATTCACTTTAATTATCTTCACCTCCTTCTTTCACACCAAACTTGTAATCCTTAAATTGAGTCTCGTATAAAGGAACAACGTTTTATTTATCAACAAGCGAGACTTTTGTAAGTGACGCCATACTGGTTGGTAACTTAAATGCTAGAGCGGCAACCCACACTTCCACAACACCACAGTGAAAATCCTTTAACTTCCACAGGTGCTACTACTCCTCCACTCCCACACACATATTACCACTACTTCACTCCCACACACATTACTACTACTCCACCCCATACACATGTTACCATTCCTCCACCTCTCACACGTTACCACTCCCACACCTTCCGACTAAATTTGTCTTAAATTCTCTAAAAGATAATTGGCATCTAGATGTTAGAACAATCATATCCAGTAGTTTCTAAAAAAGTTCATGGCAACGAAGAGTGAAAACAGAATGAAGAGGAAGATAATATTGGATCAAAATCTAAGAAACAATGATGCCATAACGGTGGTCCTGAAATTACATGTGTCCACTAAAATGCCACATTGAAACACTATATTGAGGCTCGTTCATTACCCTCCACCATCTAACATTGATAAGCTTTTATTTATATATATTGTACATCTCTTGGTCACCTGATGAGTAATGCCCAGACTGTGGTACCTGCCTTGTGGTAATTTACGAATGTCGTTCACAGTTGTACAGTCAATAAGCATGATTATTTAGTCAAAGCTTGCTGATAGCTTATGTCATCTGGCCATGCTACCTGCGATCGGCTGACTGCTCGCCTTGAGTCTTTTTTCAAGGAACAGGGGTCGCTTGGGGAAGTAAACGCGACCGATATAGAAACTGGAAATCGCGAAATTTTGTTGAACCTCTGATAAACGCCACTCTCTGAAGAAAAGGCGAGTTGCTTTAACACATGGTGGCATCAACACAGGTACTTGCTGTAACACTATTGCTACTGCAGGATTCGATAACATGCGAGAGCTTTGTGAACTGCATAACGAATGGTTAAGACACAGCCTGTCACTATTAGTCCGCTTGTTTAGGCGTGTTTGAAATTTTCTAGTTTTTCCAGACTGATAGCGAGTCACTTGCCGCTTGGTAAAACCTGCCTGTCGTGATGTATGTTGGAGTTCGGATTAAACTCCATTAGGGGTCACAGCCTCAAGTTAAATAAGTTTATCAGTACAGGAAACTGCCAATAGCTATTTTTAATTTACCTAAGGGTTACCCGAACTAGAGGTGACCTTGCCGAGGGAAGGAGGCAAGTGGCATGTGTAGGATCTCTCCATTGTTCTTGATGGTCTTGTGCCGTGTTATTTTGAAGCCCAGGACTGTTCTCGCTTCTACAGCTTGTGTTGGTAGACTGTTCCATGGGTCTACCACCCTCTGTTTGAAGGGGCATTTCCTTATATCTATCCTTGGCGAGCTTGAAGTTGTGTCTTCTAATGTAGGTGGAACGTGACATCACGAAACATTGACCAGGGTTTTCTTGTTAATCACTTTCAAGATTTTGAATGACTATGAGATCCGCCTTATTGTGTATTATTTGAAGAGTTGTCAGTCCTAAGGCCTTCAGTCTAAATTGGATAATCGATGTGATATAGTTCAAGAATCATCTTAGTCGCTCTGTGTTGCACCTTTTTAAAAAGTATTATTTCTTCCTGGCGTTATAGCTTCCATGCCTGATTACAGTAATCCAAATGGGGACATATGAGAGATTTATAATATTGAGCATTTTCTTATATTTATATTTAAAGGTACGACTTCGGGCTCTTAAATTTCAGTCTACTTATTTCACTGCTATTCCCACTTGTTGCGTAGCCCTTAGTGATTGGTATGTCACGACACCTAAGTATTTTTCCTTATCAGGAGTAGCCATAAAAATGTTGTTCAAAGAATAGTCGTGATTAGAGTTGTTGCATCCCTCGTGCCGTCTTACATTTTATAATTGAAAAGAAACTTTGTGTATTCCTTTTAATCCACTTAGCCACACTGCATCTCACTTCTGACAGAATTCCCGTTGTTAAAATATCAGGCTGTGATGTCTACTGTTCAGCTTATAGCATCACAGCCACAGGCGGGAATATACATTAGATTCTTTTTTAAATAAGTGCACCAGCCTGTCCCACACTTTGTTCTGTATCCACATGCCACGAGCTTGAGACATGCATCTGGGATAGGTGGCATTCTTGCCCAAACAGCTTGCAGACCATCCTGTTCCATCTTCCAGTCAATCGTATTGGAGGGAATGGGAACATTTGTGTGTTCCTGCTCTGCCTGGAGCCAGATCTTAGCCTGGTGATTGGCACGTGCAAGGTGAAACTCAAGGGCCTCCCTGGTTGGTGGCAACATCTCCAAACTCTTCTTAGCCTTGGAAAACAGTTGAAATCTAGCGTGGTTGACCGCATAAAACAGATCAAGGAGGGCCTCGGTCCGGGTTGCTCAGTGGAGAGCGAGGCCCAAGCCAATACATTGTACTTTAGTGTCAACTTCCGTCTCTTAGACACAGCATAGACAATGTCCTGGGCTATTATGCTAACAGTCTGCTTGACACTGCTATCATCGATCCCCTCGTCCAGGACATCAGTTCCGCCAAAGAGCAAAGAGCTGTCAGGAACTGCTTGATCAACATGATTTTGATTAAGTCCTCGCCAAGTGCCTGGATGTACTGGATTGTCAAGAGGAGCTTGCCTGACTCTGAGGGAGACATGAATCATTTCTTGAAAGAAATTGCCCTGTCCAACCTCAGACGTGGCACCTTCTTCATCATCTGTTGATTCCGAGTCCGAGGAATACATCCCCTGTTGCTGTGACTTCGTCTGGGTTTTAGAAATCAGGAATTCTGACGTATCACCAAGATACATCAAGAGTCGCCTTTTTGCCAGTGGTCTCATATAATTTGTATTTTTCCAACCAACTTTGCAGTCTTATAGAAATTCATTCCTCTGTACTCATACACATCAGGCACACGAATACCTTTCTCACTGCACATGCTCACATATCTGTTCCAGACACCCACCATGTCGTATACCTACCCATTAGTAAGTCCTGTACCCAGATCTCTACAGAGTTTCATCATGCATTCATCCAGCGGCTCCCTTGTTTCCTTTGATGACTCTTGCCTTTTCATTCGTCGCTCGAAAATTACCAAGTATGGAAGATGAGAACCTCAGAACATCCTTCTGCAGTTATTAAATCACAATTCCGGATAACCTTGTCCTCATAATTGGGTCAGCTGCTGAACGCTGGATGAGGTCTGCAGATTTTTCGAGTTTCTACTCTGTGGACTTTACTTGACTTCTGTGTTTGACAGAACATGCAGAGTGATCAGTCATTTGGTGGTGCAGAGCTGCCCCGTGTGGCTGGTGCAGAGCTGTTTGTGCTACATTGTGCCTCGCTTGATGCCTCGTGCTTCTTTGTCAACCTGCGAATCTTGCTTTCAGAGCTAAAGGTGGAATAGCAGACCTTGTCCCATCGAACTTGTGATTCCTCAAAGTCTTCCTGTAAAAGGCTGTCGAATCTTTCTAGCACATACACGAGTATACAGCTGCTGTCACCAATTTTTTCCGCTGTCCGCCAACAGTCTTAAATCTGGTTTTACCATCTGTTGAGGCAGTGCGCAATTCACCACAAAAGAAGCATCTATGGTCCTCACCCAAGACCTCATAGTAAAATAAAATAAGGCAAATAGTGAGGGAGAAACTCCACTCACCTCCTCTCTATGGACTTCATTCTTGCGTCCAAATTTTGTAAAAGTGTAGCGACCACTGAGGTTTCATCCCTTGGATCTTACAACTAAAACGCTCGCATTGGAGCCTTTGGCACCTGCTAACTATAAACCACCTTCATGAGAATTTTCTTGCCACGCACCGGCCCTAAACTACAACTATTAATCATCGAATTAAATTTTTTAAGAGGTTCTATTGAAATACTCTTACTTCCTACGATGAGGCCTCCTAGTTCTTTTGGGAACCCTGAAAATAATAGGGATGTGGTTACTGAATTTTTTTTTGTTTCATGTGCCTTAATTGCCAAGCTTCATGTACTGTACTATTTCTCATTTCTACCACTGAAAAAATTTTGGAATTAGGAAAAAAGAGAGATATCTCCAATAGGAATGAATCCCACTATTCGATGCCTCAATCATTCACTGCGTAACTGAATGTTGCTGTCGGCACCCGAGATCGTCTGGTTCAAAAATAAATGTACCCTCAATCCGTGAATGCATTCATTTCGTCGGTGTATTTGTGTTTGTGTGTGAACCTGTGAATGTGTGTGAGTGTGTGCAGTTACCATGAGCGTTGGTGCTGGTCTAAACCGAGGTCACGCCAGCGTCGTTGTGCAATTCGTGGGAAAATGTCAGGCCTAATTTGAATTATCTCCTAAACTGCAAATTATAATTGTTTTTATCCAGTAAACTTATTATTTTATTAAGAAGTAGGTTTGTATTAAATTTCGTATTTATGCAAAGCGTAGTTGAGAAGATATAAATTTCCACTTCCCACCAGATAAATTCTCTAATTTCCCTAGTCATTTCGCGGCATATTTAAACACTTACTTTGTTAGCTCGTCCCAATAACTAGGATTATAAGGTTATATACAACTTAGTATTCTAATACTTAGTATGAAAAATATTTACAATTATATTTATACACAACGCGATACTTTTTGCGACAAACGATACAAAGATTTAAAAATTTTCTGGGAAGGTGACAAGTCAAGAAGACATTTAATATTTCAGAATTGTTTGCATAAAGTTATCAAATAGTCTCAGGGATGGCAAATGCCTTGTAATCTAAAATATTGTAAGTACCGTATCTCCTTGTGGAGTGCAATAACCCCCAAAAGGCAACTTTCCTGTGAAGAATATTTTTCTGACACGTGTACTGTAGATAATGGAAAATGACTTCAGACTTCGGGAATAATTAATAGTGCTTCTGAATACAGATATAAGAGAATACTCATTCACTTCTAACAAACCTCTCGTACTGTACTCCATCCAGATTATTGTGCTGCGGGGAGACCACTCCTTCAAAAAGATCTATCACTGAAAAAATACGACGCGGGATGATTAGAATAATTCGTGAAATAAGACATCCGATTATTTAAGGCTGCCGGTGGCTTTGGAACTGTCAACTCTTCAGACATAACCCCAGATAATTCCTTCGAGATATCAAGGGGTTCCAGACACAAGAAGGCATAGGTTTCAAGTTAGTGAATTTTACAGAATGAAAACGAGGAAGTATATACAGTATTCATGCATAGAGTGACAAACCTGCATGCAACAGCCTGTCAAAAGTTGTGGAAACAAGATTAGGAATGGGATTTAAAATAGCCCTAGAAAAGGCTGCCAAGAGTAATAGGATATCCCTGACCACCAGAAATCTCATGTGCAAAACTACCATCCTACGTCAATGATGTTTATGGCAATTAAATAAATATATCCCAAAGGAGAGTACTTTAATTACGTGTGGTATTAGGTATTGCGGTAAACTTATTTAAGTTTGTCCGTAATGTAACTTTTGTAATGTGAATGAACAACTGCATATGTTTAATTATAAGAAGAATATTCTTCCTGTTTTTTAATTCAATGCCACCTTGGTCTGGAGTAAATTTATTTCTCAAATACGTACAACATATTATTTTTATCTCCTCACGCAAAGTTGTCATTAGAACATAACGTGTTACATTTTAGTAAATGTTAAACATTGTAATGGAGGGGTTAGCAATGATGCATCGAAGTCAAGAGATTTTTGTATTTAATTCATCTTGTAAAACTACTTTTGGAATGGACCTTTGAGAACGGGAAAATCATACTTCTTTGTTATAATTACAAATTTTCTAATGAAATTATTTCCTGTAGCCTAAACAAATGCAAAAGAGTTTAACAACAGTGCGTGATGCGCTCGCTGAATCTATTCCTAGAATCCGAGTAACATAATGGATTCATGTAACTAATGCTTTATTCGTAAGTATATTTTTCAGAGACATGGGCGGCCTGTAGTGGGTGGCGCGTGGTGGGCGGCCAAGCAGCCTCATGTACCATTATTCATCTCGTGGGTCCCCTATGAATAAGGAAAGAAACCCTCCTTACTTAGGAGATACGATACTTTTCCAGCAGTCTTCTTAAGGTTTCAATTATACTATTAAATTATTAATTTAAAACGAATGCTGTTCAAAATTGAAATATATATCACTGTATTTTATATTGACATGTAAAAAGAAGTATAACTTAAAATATATATATTTTTTAGCACAAATACTCTTTATCATATGATATAGTGAATGACAATGAGTAGACGGTTTCGTCGTTTATTGTCAACAGTGTAAACATGGCCGACAGCGCGAGTGAGAGCGACTCGTCGTCTGTTACTGATGGACCAATTATGCAGCCGCCCTCAATGCCACCTTCCCCAATTACCCGGGAACAATGGCAGAAGAGGATAGACTGCCTACAGCAACAAAATCGCGTACTAAGAGCCGAGCTGGAGACATATAAACTGCGAGTGAAGAGCCTGCATGAGGAGAACAGGGCGTTGCGGCAAGCGTCTGTCAATATTGTAAGTTTTATACCATTAGTCCTCCTTCCTGACTGTTGTTTAACCAAGTAATACATGACATTTTAAAAGACAAAATACTATTTGTCTTTTAAACTATTTTGTTAAAGGAATGTCGTTCTAAGTGTAAATTCAAAGCACAATAGGTTTACTTCCTTGGGGTAACACCAGCTGAGAGACAAAATGTGAAAGAAACACTGTGCTAAATTCAGTCTTTAAATAATTGTGGTTCTTCTCTGATAATTTGAGATTTATTAATGCTCACATCTTTGATTTTATTATTAAAGTCATAGATTGAAAATGTTTAGATAGTTTCTATATTGGCAAATAATATCTACAGGTTATGGTTATAGGTATGTGTTTACACCTGACACACACCTCAACCAGCAACTTGAGGACATTTCACCAGGAAGGTAAATGCTTTCTTACCTCATGAAAAGGCCATTAAATATCGGTAAAAAAATTTCCATCCTGAACAAAGTTTATGGCTGCAACATCTGAGCTTCGACACCATTATGGCTCTTTTCGTCGGTGAAGGATTGATGGTCCTTTCATAAATAAGACCAATTGTGTCTTAGTTAGCTACTGTACAATATTTGACCATTGAATATAATTGCCTTTTTACCTCTTGAAATTAAAAAAAAGTGCACAAGCAATTATGGAACTTTTTTCTAATGGACACAATTGGATGGGTGCTCACTCTGACCTCTGATGTGGTCACAACACACCTAATGATGTGAGAATGTTTTTACTTAAAATTGGTAAGGATACCAAGGTTATGTTTACTAAGATTGTTTAAGCTGTGGTGAGATGTCAAAGCTATCTCACTTGCTAACACTTGTCTGAACTAACTGTGGCTCCATCACTGGTACTTTTGATGCAGCTGAGTGAGATGTCAGGTAATCTCATGGCGTGTCACTTTTGTTACAGTCATAGATTAGCTGGTAGTTGGAATCGTCACAGCTGTCCTTTATTGTACTTATCTTAGCTTGTAAGTTACACAAGACACACATGTAGTTTTCTGTTCACTTGTTGTTCCTTGGTTTAACATAAACACACGTAATTTTCTAATTATAATGGGAAGTAATGTCTGTACAATTATTTGGTATTGTCAGACTAATGAGCATCAGCTATTAGCTTGTAATTAGCTGAGAGATATATAGAGATATATAGCCCAGAGAGCTTGTCTCGGGACTCTTCTTTAGGGTATTGTGTTGGCTATGAACTAGTGGTTGGAAGGTAACCTCACTTCAAATGGCCATTAACGAAACAGCTGACACACACACACAGGGTTGGGTGTTAAAGTTATGGCCTGTAAGTCAAGATGGTGTGATATAACAAATGCTTATTTTAGCTTAGATGCTCATTACTCTGGGTGATAGAATGTATATAAGTAATGAATATGTGGTATTAGCCTGTATTTATATAATACTACTGCCTCTATATGTGACAGGCTAATACAAGATTCATTTTGCCTGTTTAAGAAGTGGATGATACCACAAATACCATGAGAAAACCATATTCAGAGTTTCGCTTAAATGACATGATCACTTTACTATAAATACCGGTACATATTTTTTATTTATCATTTCACCTCTTATCAGCTTGCTAACTGTTTGGGCAGTTGTTCTAGTTTTTGGTTACAGTATTCTTATGAACTTTATTGTCCAGTGTTGTACAGGAGGAAACCGGAGTGCCCAGAGGAAACCCGTGTTGTTTGGTAGGGTCACACTGGAAAACACCCTTCTCACATGTGTCCTGGCCAAGCAGGACTTAACCCATTTATTCTATCCATTAAAAAAGAGAGTGGAAAAGATTCTTTAAACATTCCAAGTTATAATTAGCACCCATTTTATATGCCATTAGCAAATATTTAAATCGCTATTGATTTTATAAAGTAACGGGAAACTGATTTGAAATTTTTGACATGAATTACACAAAGTAGTTATAGTAGCTGTAGAGTACAGTATACTGGTAATACAGTGCTGCTGTAATTTTGTTGGAAGCAGTACAGTATTTTGGTAAGTATGCATAACATTTAGCTTACTGATATTAGATTGAGGTTACCAGGTACTATTTATGGACCATCATTATCAGACAACATTAACTGAACCCATTTAGGCAGATGAAATTGGTTACTAATTCCCTAGTTTGATTTGAAAGGATCTTGTCAGTATTTGTTGTAGAGTGGGAAGCCTTTGGAGTAGCAAAGAAAATAAATTGATCACATTCCTGTATCTCGGCTTCTGTGTCCTATTGTTGCCTGTATATCATAATCATAAGAGAGAACTCCCTCTCTTTACTTTACCATGTCCTGTAGTCACCTTTTATGGTGTGTAATGGTTTTGGGGGATCAGTTCTCTGTGAGTCACCAGCTTTACCTCTCTCCATTATAATATTTATCGTTCTTTGAGGTTTCTGCATCCCCGGATCCCCACCCATCACAAGAGTAGATGAGGAGTAAAAAGATAGACATGCTTATAAATACTTGCTGTATATTATCTTGTACAGTACAGTAAACATTGACAGAAAATGATCCAATTGAATACTTGTACCGGCCTGTAATTTAGACTATAATTTTGATTGAGACTGAATGGTTTGGATAAAAATGCTAGGTACTGGACAATAGCTAATACTGTACAGTACAGTATGTTACACTGCTCCATGACACACTACAGTGTTTCCAGAAAGAACACACTGCTTTAAGGTCATATTTGTGTGCTATTTTTAATGATATAGTGAACTTATATACGATAATACATTCACTATATCAACTTGTGTATGACTTATGTTTCCTGTATTAGTAGTTTCATTGTCAGTTTAGGAAACTTTAGAATTTTAGTACATGTGTTCAAGCAATTTCTTTATTATCTCCACAGCAAGCTAGAGCAGAGCAGGAGGAGGAGTTCATCAGTAATACTCTCCTGAAGAAGATACAGGCGCTGAAGAAGGAGAAGGAAACTCTGGCTTTGAACTATGAACAAGAGGAAGAGTGTCTTACCAATGACCTATCACGCAAGCTCAGTCAAGTGAGTGGCATCACTTGGTCACAAAGTCTTGTGTTTTACTGGCCAGGTAGTTAATGAGTTGCTCAGTCTGTTAGTGGAAAGATTTATGGTTTGTCTGTAAATAATGTTGCCTTCAAGTCTTATGTGGCAAAAAAATTAGCCAGATAGTTCTTTCTGTTATGCTTTTAAATTTGTTGTATATGTGTGGTATTTGTAAGTCTTTTATTCTTAAGTTATTGATTTTGTATGGTATGTGTGGTATTTGTAAGTGCCTATTATTTTTAAGTTATTATTGATAAAATCTATTTTGTATAGTATTAATAATTGAGAAAAAGTGTTGAACTTTTAGATAAAGAAGATATTTGATTTTTTTTAATATGGAAGTTCTGATAGCTTTTTAGTTTAGATGTTTTATCAAGTTAGTAAAGTACTGTATAGGCTTTAAAACAAAAAAATTTATGAACTGAGTCTGAGAAATGAGGATAAGGATCTTATAAGAGGAGAGATTGGGCTTTTTTGAGAATGAACAAGTGAGAAAGGTAACTTGAAAGAGAAATTCATTATGGGGGGGAACTGGAAAAGTTTTGCTTAGGTTGTGTTAACATGAGCATTTAAGTGAGCTGTTAACTAATGGGCATTTTAGTAAGATTATATATTAACCACTGAGTATTGAAATCAGATTAAGATTAAAACATTGGGCAATTATGTAAGATTATATCACTAATAACTGATAAGAACGTACTGGTAAGTGAGAGGATGACTAAACTGATGAGCATTTAAATCAGTTGTAAGTGAACTTCAGGAGGTGGTGGTAAAAATACTATGATTGAAAGAATAAGTTTTGAAAAATAATTGAGCAAGTGAGTGTACTGTAGGGGGGGGGGGAGAGATGATTAGATGAGAGGGCGAGACTGCCTGAGAATGTTGTGTTTGACTAAGATGGTGTTGTGGAGGTCTGAAGTGAACTGTAGTATTGAGAAGTATCTGAAGAGGGTGTTTTGGAGGGCTGAAATAAACAATGGGGTTTACTTGATGCTAAAACGTGAGTTAGGTAATGTTTTTATGGTGTTTAGGAAATGATTGGAGTGAGGCTTTATGGGAATAATTGATAGTTAGGAGTTGCAGTAAATTGTAATGGGGAAGAATTGAGTTGGTGTTAGGTTGGAATGCTGTAAACTGTGGTGTTTGGAAGAGAATGAATTACAGGCAGACCCTGATTTACGAAAGGGCTCCATTATATAAATTGAAGCACATTTTCCCATAATATCCCATTATAAAAGCTGTACTATGTTCCTACAAAATTTTCCCCCCAAAATCTTAAAAATGCTACAAAACATGTTTTTATTTAAATTTTTTGATGTACAGTGTTCAAACCCTCGGTGACTTTACCGAACATGTGGCAACATCGGAATCATAGTGGAACTTTCTTTACAAATATTAAATCTATCATATCACTTACCACAAATTGCAAGTACTAATATTACCCCTAAAAATTATATTGCTGGCCACATATTCAGAAAGGCCACCGAGGGGTGGAACATTATACCTGTGGGCAACTGTACATAACGATTTTAAGCTGATCTTAAACAAAGAGTAAAATACTGTACATACAGTACACTACAGCACGAAAACTATTTTATAAATACTTCAGAGAAACAGGACGAGATTGGAAACTGAAGTTAACAGTATGAAATGCTAAACCAGCATGTAACATAATTATGTTACCTTAGTAATCCATTGACTTCCAGTTATAATTGATGGTACATTCTCTACAAAAGAAAAAATACCACGCTTAACCATTAAGTTATTGTCATCCTAAATTTCTGATGCTTTGTTTACTGTACATGGCACAAACACTTGTGTCAGCCATCTGCTGATGCTCCCCTCACTTTCCCTAGTTGTGTTGCTGCCGTTCTTCACACCTCCAAAGTTTTATTCACTTCCAAATTCCACACTTTCTCTTACAACTACAGTATGGGTACACACCTTTATTGTGCATAACTAGGGTATGAAACTTAGGAATACAGAATCATTTTCTATTATTTCATTTTCCACATATTACAGGAGAGTAAATGAGAAGAAGTTGGATAATCAAGTAGTGACTGTGTGTGTGGTGGTGGGAGTGACAGTCACTTGTTATATGGTGGGAGTAGGAGAATGATGACAATGAATATTTATTTGTTGACTGTAACATTATGAGTGTTGGAGAAACATGAAATAAGTACAGTATGCATAATTTATTAAAAAAAACACTTATGATTTTAGCATATTTTATATTCATTATTGCTGTAAAGCAGTGTGGGAAAATTTATACATTATACTGTATACACTGTATAGTATATATTTTTTTCATAATTGCGAATTTTCATAACTCATATCCTTGAAAATCGGGTCTGCCTGTACTGTTTTGTAGGACTGTTTTATAAACTGTGGTGTCTGTGTGGTGTTAGGAGGCTCCTGCATGCCCCCCAACTCTGCTGTATAGCCAGAAACAAAGTTTGAAACATGGATAGGTAAGTAGAGACATGTGAATGTTGCACTTTGGAGCACAAGATAATGTTTTCAGTGTTAATCTGCTTGTGAGATTAATTAAATTTAAGACTTAATATTAGTATTTTCTTGTAGTTTTTAATAGTTTGCTGTACATCAGCGATTAATACCTCTTAAAATCCTGCATCCTTTATGGTCAAAACTGTCTCTAGTGTAAATACAGTACAGTGCTAGATGATAAACTTTTTTGAAGTATCTAGTGTCAAAGGTTGAATTGTACATGTTGTAGCTTGTGTACTGTACAGTAAGTTCTAATGAAATATTAGCCAGTATGCATTCATCATTATTTTTACTAGTCTTACTAATAAGTGTAGTGTAAGTTGTATTGACTTATGAGACATGTGAAATCTGTTTTGTTATGACAGAATGTAGTTCATAAAAGAAATGCCTGTCCCTTTAAACTTGACCTAATGTCTTTAAACATCTATCATGGGAAGTTTCCATATGTATTCCAGTTTTTTATGTCTATAATATTAAGGAGCTTATGCTAATATTGTCCTTTGGAAAAAATATATTGTCTAAAAACTGTAAAAATGACAATACAAAGTTATGATTATTTAAATCACATTTTTAAATTCTCTTACCCGGTGAGCTTTATAAAAAAAATTTCATTCCCCAATGTAATACAGTGGTGATGAAGAACTAATACAGATTTTAAACACTTTACATTCCTGGAAATTTATGTTACTTTACACATTTTATCCCTTTAATCTATGCAGTAGTGTTGTATTGCCACCCAGTTCACTTAATTCAGACTGCTAAAATTTGTTCTTGTAGGATGTTCCACTTCAGTGGCCAAGTATTACTCCAGCAGCAGCTCCCTTCTGCAAAGTCCAGGTTTTACTTTATTGACAGCTCCCTTGTCCAAAGTCCTGATTTTAATTTACTGACAGCATCTCTGACGACCAGGTTTCACTGCCAACAGCTGCCTTTACCTGTGTCCAAGTTTTACCTTGCTGAGCACCCCCTTCTCCAAAAGTTTGAATTTTTCTTAACCAGTTACTGTACTCCAAAGTTAAAGTTTTACTTTCTTGGCTAGTCCCATCTGTAAAGTACAAGTTTTATTTTAGTGATTGCTCCTTTCTCCCTATTATTTACTTCATCCCTTCACATTTACCAATCCATGTTCCTCTCACCTGCGATTGAATAACAAACTCAATGTAAAGTACTGTAGTTATCTTTTCTATGTGCACACACTAGACTCCTGTAACAGACTCATGCTTCCTAACATCCAAGTTTGCTACACCGTGCCTTCTAATGATACACTCACATCTGCAGGCTTACAGTGTTTCTTAAGAGCATTGTGGGAAGAACTTCACCAGTTATTTAGCTTACCAAAATATTTTTAACTGCATATGGATATGCCAGATTTAATTTCATACATTTATTAGCTTATATAGCTGTAAACAATAGTGTTGATATTATAATGTACTAGCTGAGTTATCCGACTTCACCTGGGTAGAGGGGCAGGATATAATGCATGACCATCCCTGGGACACCTGCACCTCCTTATCAAATTTCAGCTCTGTCTTTAAGACTGGAAATTAATAAAGACCATACACACAAACACACACTCACACACAGACAAACAGAATGTATTTTGTACATACAGTATAGATAACTATACTTTAACAGCTGAGGTCTTTAAGTGCATATGAAGGCTAGTAATTATGCTTGTCCATCAATACTTTGAGTAGGTGGCTGGGCAGTATTATGAGGATAGTGTAAGTGGAAATAAAAATTAATTATCAATAAGCTATTTTAGTTTCTGTAGGTGACATTAAACATGTCAAGATGCAGAGAAAACTATGCAAAACTGAATTACTTAGCAAATATTTAATTGCTCACTGAAGTACTTAAGGTTTTCAAAATGTTTTGAAATAAGTGGCACCTTCATAAAAGTAGGAGGCAGCAAATTGTGTCTCAGGCACAAGCTGAAGCCCCAAAATAAGACAAATTTGTGTATTCATGTGGAAACTTCCTTTAATAGATATTAGGTAACTTAAGAATGTCATCCTTTGTTAATAACTATCTTGCCCTCCTACAGCAAGCCCTCACACTTTCAAGCGGGTTTGATTTTAGAATATATCGATCTCATTTGAGAAGTGTGTGTGGTCGTAACCCAAATTTTCTTTAATAAAAATGTTATCCAATTTCCTCCGTAGCTGCGCCAGGAGAAGGTAGAGTTGCTCTGATATTTGCACTATATAAGAGATAACATGATTCATACATATATTTTTCTGATTTCCTCCTCAGCTACACCAAGAGACCAAGATAAAATTGTTAAAATATTTGATGGATAGTGATGATGTCTGATTCCTAACCTGAATGTGTTTTTCCTCTCACTCAGTTGCGGCAGGAGAAGGTAGAGTTGGAACAGACACTCGAGCAGGAGCAGGAGTGCTTAGTTAATAAATTGATGCGCAAGATTGAAAAACTAGAAACTGAGACTGCAGCTAAACAGAATGATTTAGAGACACTTCGAAGAGAGAAGGTTAGTACTGTACTGTATGTTACGCATATTGTTCTGGAAAATATGTTCTTGTCAAGTCATTGTAAGTGTATATCGTGATGACAGTGAGGTGGTGGTTGAGGAACTGTATTAAAAAAAAATGGGGTTCTAATGATGCAGGTTAATATTTGGATCAGGATTAGCTTCCCATAGAACTTAGGAAACAGTACTATTTGTTTGTGTAGAAACTGGGTGGCTCATTACCACAGGAAACAGCATCGTAGGAGAAGTACTTATAAAATTTTCCTTGTATTGATTATATGGAGATAAGGTGTATGATACCTGGAAATTTTAAAGCTTGGAAAATGTAAAGACATGTAATATGTCTTGTAGATTAGTGAATTTTAATGTCCATAATTGTAAACTTTGAAAATTTATCTTGTAGCTTTCCATACCGGAAAGGGAATGATTGGTAGTAAGCTGTGGCAAAGAGTATACTGTAGTACTGTACTGCCATTGATGGGAAATTCTGCTTTTTCTGATTATCTTTGTAGATGAAGTTTTTCACCCCTATTATCAATTTCATTAAGCTTTTCTGCATATTATTGATTATGTCTATGTCTTTCATCATTGCATTGGCTTAATCTAAATGTTGTTACACCAACCATCTGAAGTTTATCGCACTAAATCTTTGAATGATTGCTAGATCATACATTCCCTTAGTGGTTTTATACCTCATTGGAGCAGAAATGTATACTTTGTTTATTAGCCCCTTTACTTGCAGTCAAGTTTATGATCTAACCAGTATACAGTGGTCCCTCGGTTAATGAACACAATTCGTTCCAGAAGGTCGTTCATTAACTGAAACCATTGTTTCAATGGGATTTTGGGTAATTGGTTCCAGCTCACCGAAAATTACATACAAAGTAAAAAAAATGCAGGAAAGTACACTTACTTTGAGGTGTGTATGTAGAAGGCTCCTGGTTGATGATGATGATGGGAATTAGTAGTGGGGGTGGAGGAGAAGAGAAGGAAGTGGGGGTGGAAGAGAAATCACCCCATGCTTGATGCCATCATTTCACCCATAAAATTTTAAGTTCACTAGGTGTAATTCAAGATTATTTTCTTTAAATCAACACTACACTGCACTATATATTGTCAATATGTTAAATCAATTTCAGAATGACCAATAATTTTACTGTAAAAACGTAAAAATACAGTAGAAGTCCAAAAATCCGGACTGCTTGGGGATTGGGTCGGTCCGGATTTTCGGATTTTCCGGATTCTCAGGCAGTACTTTTAAAATTCAAATTTAAGGAGGAATAAAGAAGAGATGAACAGGTACATTTTGATAGTTTATTCATTAGCAAATATAGCATGCTTCATTTATCAAAACGAGCAGTTTTAAAGAAAAAGCTGTGAATTCTCGAATTTTATTCTGTGCCTTTTTTATATCATAAATTGTAGACTTTCCAATGTCGTATGTTTCCATTAGAACAGAATTGCTCCCACCATGTTCTAGTTTCTTAATTATTTCAAGTTTGTCACTCAATTTCAACGTGTTGTTCTTTCTCTCCACACAATGAAGTTTATCTACAGTACTTTAGGAGCCATTATTATGGGCTTGTACAGTACAGTACTCTGTAAATGGAAAGAGTAGGACTCAAAATTACATACCCCTGTATGTTGTCACAGTTTGATTGCTCATTTTAAAGTGGCGACCACATGGTCGCTTGTTGTTGCTGTGCAGCTGTGGCGCTGACGCATGCGCACATACACACAAAAGCCCGCTAAAAAAGAAGAAAAAAGGTTTGAGTTTTCGAAAAGTTCGGATTCTTGGGTGGTCCGGATTTCTGGCATCCGGATTTTTGGACTTTTACTGTACTCTGTGTTCAAGAGACCCCACAAGCAAGATGTTTCCTCCACTGAAGTGAGATACAAACTGAGGCCTTGGTGGGTGAGTGAAGTGGCTGATGGGTGCACCAAAAACTAGTTCCCTGTACTGCAATTATGTTAAATAAGTGTTAAAATGACTAAAAAATTTAATATACAACTTGGAAAATTATTGAATAGTACAACCTTCTTGATATTTACTCCAATTTTAACGAATGTAAGCCCTAGAACCGATTTCTGTATTGGCGGACTAATCTTCCAGCTGGTGAGCAAGAAAAAGCATGTCGAAACATTTTCGTAAGAATTTCGTTAACCGAAATGAAGATTCTTATGGAAGGTAATTCGTTAACCGAAATTTCGTTAACTGAGGGACCACTGTATAACTCTTTTACCAGAACCCTTCATTCTGTTAAAATTTGAGTATCTTTTTGTAAACAAATGTCTGAAATCACAAAGAAAAATTACAATGGGATGATGTTGAACCAGTGATAACACACACATGGACATGAGTACTTTTCATTTTTAACAAAATATTATTGTGTGTTTGTGTGTGCTTAAAGGAAGGCATTCTTAAGGTGGACGTTATCAGTATTATTTATTTTCAATTCATGATGTTTAATTTATATATGTATTTTTTTTTTTTTCAGATTGAGCTAGAGAATACACTAGAACAAGAACAAGAAGCACTAGTCAACAAACTATGGAAGAGAATGGACAAATTAGAAGCAGAGAAGAGGTATGTGTGTTGTTTAGCACTGGTCCTAGTAGTTTGATCTTGTTTATGTTGTTACTTTGGTAGTACAGTATTTCACCTTGAACATTTATTTATATAGGGGTACACTAGCTTTATAAATTTGACAGGGAAATAAGTACAGGTTCAACATGTAGAATCTGGTTGTGAGTAAACTGGGAATGTGAGAAACCCGTATATTTTCACCACTGTGCGAGGTTAGCCTACATGATTACGCGATGGGCCCGAGATGAACCTGCATGAACTTAACTTGGCTAGACCTGATTGAACCCACATGACTAATACCCAGGCTCTGTGTATCATGATTTACATTTTGAAGATACAAACTTAAATTTATCCGCTGTGCAATCAAAAACCCCAAAGTGACATTTTATTTTATTTTTATTGTTTACTTCTTTGTAACTAACGTAGATTCTGACACAGGCATGTGAAACATCTCCATGGCAGTTGGTTAGTGGTCAGGGTTGTTTAAGAGGATTTATGTATGGAAGCTACCCCCATGTCCAACCGACCCTCTGTCTGAGAGGAATCAATGCCAGTGTCCAATGTGTATCAGTGCAGTTCTTCCAAAATGATAATATTTTGGTGAGGCAGCAACATGAGCAAGCTGCATCTCACCGTAGTGTCTGTTTAGCTTACACTGCATTGTGGGTGTGATGTCAGCCAGTGGGGTGTTTAACTCCTTCACTACTGGGACGTCACTTTTAATATTTTATTCGGTGAATACCAGAAGATTTTATTCAGCACAGAGAGGATCCTATACGCAAGGTGTTAAATGGAGTTGGGAAGCATGAAAGCAGTGTATGTAGTTGTCTGACTTGCATTTTTTTATTATTTATTTTTTCAATAGCTTTCCATGACTGTTAAAGGATAAATGTATTTGTAGTATCTTCATTTTTTTCAAGAGCCTTTTCCCCACAATAATGGGGGCTGGGGGCCTGGGATTTTAGCAAACACACACACTGACAGTCCATTCATTTGCTGTCATCCCTTCAATTTTTACATCTGAAATAGAAATCTCCTGCTGGGTTACTCCTCTTCCACACCAAGGCCCCAAATGTCTGTCGAGGTTACCCCAGTTGCTTCACACACAACTTAAGCCTCATCCATCTGCAGCAAATTCATTTCCCCTAATCACTTGATGACATGCTCTCAGTTGCTTCCTAAACGTTGCTACCTTTTACTCTTAACAACAATAGGACTAAACTGAACCTGAGAGTTCTGAGATTATAATTTATTGAAAATACAGTATTTTGTTATTTGTTATTTTTCACCAGAATGCTTCAGGGAAAACTAGAGCAGCCAATCTCCAATCCACCTTCTCCAGCTGACTTTAATCAAGGTGACCGAGCCAATAATCTATCTTCTCATATCCAACATCTGCGGGATGAAGTCTCTAGGTTTCGAGAGCAACTCACAACTGCTCAGGAGGAGCGTAAGTACAGTACTGGTCTCTGATAATCTAATTATAGTTTGATGAAAGTGAATAAGATAGAAATAGTGAAACTAAGCATTAACAAGATGACCTGAATATTCTATTGTTTAAGTTAGAAATATATTGACCCCCAAATTAAAGATTTGTTATCATTAACTTTGGTGCTTAACATGCTTGACTAATATGGCTTCCTGTCTTGCACCAGGTGTAGAAGAGACACAGGCAGGTTTAAGTAGTTGTGAACAGTAGTTATACAAACATTGAATGGCATATGAGTTTGTTCTATAAAGATGTTTTGCTTTTTATTTTACTGCAGAAAATATATAATTTATGAGGGGGCAAAAATTTTAGATCACCCTGATCATTATGGTCATTAAAAATTGCTACAGAATTGATTTTAATTGAAAAAAATATAGTATTTAAAAGTTTGCTTATGCTTGATTTCAAAAGTCCTACATTATGCTTGAAAGGTATAATTATTAATATAATTTGCCCCCAAAATTATATTACCATAGTACGTATATGTGCTGACTTCTCCAACACTCTAGGCTCTGCAGTCATAAAATAATCACCGTGAGTTATGTTTCAGCACTTTTTGACCGTTGTTAAGTGTTTGGCTAACCTTTTTGTTCAGAATAGGTGGTTCATATCTGTGGTCAGTGTGTAAACTTGATTTCCTATTTCATTATTTTGTCTTATTTTAATAATATTTTGTTTATAATCAAGTTAGATAAGGTATTTCGTTGTACTTTTACAGATAACCGCACAGCTCAACAGTATGCAAATGAAGAACGCTTAATTCGTGAGGAGAATCTTCGTCTGCAGAGGAAACTTCAGATGGAAGTTGAGCGTAGGGAGGCCCTATGTCGTCATCTTTCAGAATCAGAATCTAGCTTGGAAATGGAGGAAGAGCGGCACTACAATGAGATTACTTCACAGCGGCATCGAACGCTTTCTAGTCCAGTGCCATATAATCCATCTCCTAGTTCCTCAAGACCACTCTCGCCAGGTAAGGAGCACACTAATAATGCTCAGGAAGACTAGGTTTAAAGATTATAGCCAATTGTCATTTTTAGTGTGATAATTCAGCGAGAGATAGAGAGATTTTTTGGCGAATTTGATGAGTATTTTTCAAGAAGTTTGTATTCTGGTGCCGTTTTAGACTGACCTTTAACTCTCCTTCATTCATTCACTCTTTAACTACTGAGATAAACCATTTAACACCTTCTTTTCATGGAATTTATTTTGTTTGCTGCTTTTATGATGTTTAACCCCCCCCCTCTTATAAAACTTCCTTTACCCCCCAACCTTCCCTTTTCATGTTCATTCTCTCTGCCTCATCCATATACAGTAATTCTGAATTTTACACATTTTTTACCCTGCATTTCACTTCCCATTCTCACAGTATGTCCATTCCACGTTCATAAACCCGAGTCGGCTCTCTATCATTCTTCTCTGTATGTCTTATTCTGTTCATCCTGTTTGCTTTACACACATTCTCATACACTTCTATTTATTGCTCCTAATTTGCTTCTTCCTCTTGCATCTAGTCCAACTTACGTTCTCATTCAGTAATGTTTGCTCAAATATTCCTCTGTTTGTCTCCAATTTTATTTCCTTTGATGCAGTTCTGTTGCCAAATGATGCTTAATGCACATTGAATTTTCTTCCCCTAAGGTACTCCATTTGTTGAGATATCCACTGCCAGGTATCTGAAGCACATTACATTTATATTCTATCTCTATATGAGTTCTTTTGTCTCTTAACATTATGACAACCATTTTGTCCATCTTTCATTTGCTCTACTTTTTCTTATTTAAATTTTTTATTTTTTTTACTTTCCATCTAACATCTCAATACAGGTGTACGGGTATCCCTCATTTAACAATTATTCACTAAGCGATATTTCTGTTTAGCGATATAAATTTTTTAATAACCTTTCTTGTTTAACGATGGTCAATTTTCAGTTTAGCGATGTTTGACTTGCTGGGAAAAATTGTGGAGGAAAGTTGGAAAACTGGGGATTCTGTACAAAACTCTAATATGTCTTAGAAGTAAACAAATTATAAAATAAAACTATAAAATAAGAAAAAAGAAGAGCATGCGTCTGTGGGACGTAATGTATGTATTGAGGCAGTGAGCTGTAACTGTGACCAGTCGCACTCTTCCTCCCTCCCTATGTGATGTTACGGCATAAAGGCAGCACATTTCTGTTGGGTCGGTTTGGCTACTGCCCAACTGAACTGAGTACCAGTAAATGTGAGGAGTAAATAAAAATAAATAAAATATAAAAAATGCAGCATTTCCATTTTGCAATCATTTCACTACACATGGGACAAGAGCCCGCGAACTGCTAAGAGATCTCCCCCTCCCCGTCCCCTCTGTGTGTGCTAACTCCCGTGCATGTAAGAAATGTTTATTCCTTTCATATTTTTTAATTTTTTATATTTTTTTTTGGGGGGGGGCACATTCTACACATAACAGAGTAGAAAAAAATTAAGAAAATTGTGCATCTCTACCTTAAATTACGAGTTGAAAAGCAACCATAACATAGCTCACAGCTGGCATGAAGAAATTTTTATTTTCTTGTTATGAACTTATGATAATTAATATTGTTATTATTATTATTATTTTTTTTGCACATATATGTGAATGATTGTGTGCATAAAACAGAAAAAAACACAGAAAATTACGTATATACAGTATACCAAAAATTACAAGTTGAACAAAAATATAGATCACAGCTCAGCCCCACCCAATTTGAGTGCTACTGGATGGTGAATCAGCGACTGTTACACAATTATAAGCCATCTCCAGGGATATTCTTCTTTGTTTTCCCTCATTTAGCAGTAATTTTGCTGAACGGTGGATTTAACGGGTGCATCCCTAGCATTAAACGAGGGATACCTACCATTTTTCACTAATCACTTCTTACTTACAAGTGGCACAGCTCTTCTTTAATAATAGTTATAATTAATTATATAATGGCCAGTTTAATAGGATTGGACTGTGCTTGTCCAGCATGGGTGTGTATTCAGACATTAGCAAGGAAGTTATCATGTCATACATAGAGATACTGTATTATGTAAGTACTGTAATAATTGTGCTACTTTTCTTTTTTAAATTTGGGGGAACTTTAATTGAAAAGATGTTTTGTTTACAAGTAGTACATGGCATAGATAGATAGTATGCAATTAGATATTAACTAACTACTTTCTTTATATGCTCTAACAACCTATTGTTAGAATAGAATAATTGAAGCAATGTAAACATTATTCTGATCTTTTCCTTTATCAACAGGCTTGTCGGGCTACAGCGGGGGGCGGGATCTGTTCTCCCCACCCAGTCCCATGGGTCGTTGCCCACATTGTGGCCAGGTGATCCTTCACCACCCGCCACCCACTGTCCCTCCGCCCAATTACCTGCCCTCTGCCTCCCCTCCTCCCCCACCTGTAATCTCACCTGCAGTAAGTCTTGGCTTTGATATTTAACCATCAAACATTTGTTAATTGGTTTTGTTCATAGGTTATATAAGGTGTTTCATGTTTGAAAATCGTGAATACAGGTATGGGACCACTTATACAGCATGCTTGGGACCTGGGGGTTACCGGATAGGGTATTTTTCCAGAATTTGGAGCGCCATGCACAAAATTATAAAATCTACCGTAAACCTTCTGTAGCTGGCTGCAAAGCCTCTGTTGAGATCACTACTTTCACCACCCAAAAAATAGCTTTGCCTGTACACTGTAACATTAAAACTTAAAATTATAGGCATATAGACAGCAATAAAGAAAACATATAAATAGCAATAATGGAAGCATAAAAAGAGCCAAAATTATAAGTCACTTTACACACTGCGTTGCAGTCTCAGGGATGCGGGTCGCCTCAATGGTCACCTTAGCAACCAGTCCAGTTGGGGACGCTGCCTGGCAGGCTTCCTTACCAATGGTGCTCTGTGCCACGGACCCCCTGACTTCCACACACTCGCCTCACAGTGGAAACCCATAGATACTTGAAACTTTATCTCCAATGATAATTATTTCTATTTAATTTATTTTTGCAGTTTCTATATGTAAGATTGTGTGCATGTAACTGAGTAAAAAAGATGAAAAAAATTACATATATCTACCCAAAATAACAAGTTGAAAAATAACCATAATATACCATGTACAGTAGGTCACAGTTGGGGAATGGTCGGAAATTTTCCCTCTCGGCCCGTGTGTTCCTGCGCTCGTTTTAAATAATTCCTTCCAGAACCTAACCAGTTTTTGGAGTGTTCTGGATACCGGGGCACCGGATAAACAGTCTTATACCTGTAGTAATATCAAGTAATCTCTAAATTTCAGATCATTGGTACTGTACGGTATTGTTATGTTTGCCTTTAAGGAATGCGTTTTATGCCATTCTTTTAAGGTAACTTGGTAACAAACTTCCAGAGTGAGTTGTAACTTTTCTGGTTGTTTCCACTTAATGAAGGGAACATAAGCATTGTATTGAGGCATTTTCTTGAAGCAGACTTATTTATAACATGATAGGGAGTCTTAGCATGAGGCTAAATTATTTGTTACTCTTATGAGTCAAGCTTACTTACCTACTTACTATTTTCTTCTTAACCTGCCCAGCCTAGATTTTATATCCCTATCTTATTCTGTTTGGTGAACAAAATAGAGAATAAGACAAAGTTCAACCTATTTAATAATAGTGTAAATTTAAGAACCTCTCCTTTTATTTATGTTAGTCCATGTGTTATCACCACATAAAAGTTGGATTCTAGTATGCTTTAATTAAACAAACATTTTACTCACCAGGCAAGCAGCCACAATCAGAATTTGTGTCCACCAGCAATATACAGTGAGAGAGTGTCACCTTAATATTAGATCTTTTAAACCTCACAGCACATCTAACTTACGTAAGACACTGTACAGTAAGATCCTGCTTCACCCTTTCACTATTAGGATGCCACTTTTTATATTTTATTCAGCTCAGAGGGGGGACGACCTGTAAACTAGGGGTTAATGAGTAACAATGCACACTGGACTACCAGCCGTCAGCCACCCATCAACTGCTGGGTCACTGCTGACAGCGAGGGTCTGTGTTCGCTTATTGACTCATGGACTGTGTTTATGTCATTGACCATAGAAAGGATTTTTATTGAGATAAGAACACCGTTTTAAAAAATCTTGAAACATCTATCTAAATATTATTTCTATTAAATATACAGTAAATAAAAACTCAATATTTTTTCGCAAATCGTTAGTTGAAGACAAAACATAGCATTTATATATACAGTATACTGTATATGGGTATCCAACTGAAACACTTAAGATTAAAAATTTTGTTCATCTGACCGTTCCATTGCTTACTACAACAGATAATGGAAGTGTGTCATACTATAGAGCTTTCAGTGTGCTGTGGTGCATTAAAAGAAAAAAAATGTGTGCAGTTGTTTTGTTTTAACTTTTTGAATGGTATAGTACTAACCTTTAGACTTAAATTTTATATGTCTAATGAACGCCTACAGCTTGAGAGCATTGATTTTGATTTATTGTCCTAAGAGTGAATTTTGGTATAATTTTTATTTTTTGGATCCTCATTGGGGAAAAAAATGCTCAGTAATATATACAGTAGGTCGAATTTTTAAGGCCAATTTTTTTCTAAAAAAGTCAGAGGGTCGACCTATACACGTGTACTGTTTTCTAGGGTTTGAAATCTTTGCATGTTGGGGATGGGTATTGTATTTATGAATTCAAGTATTACTGATAAGCTATTCAATGCTTGTATTAGGCTAAGCTCCTTAACCTAACAATAGGCTAACCTACGACATGCTTCCAGCAGGCTAGGATACTGTAGGTCTATTGTAGGCTAGCTTGCCAGCAGGTTCCTTCTTCTGTACATCAAAGGCAGAATACCATTCATTTATGGTATCATATGGCACATTACTGGTAATTACCATATACACATACTGGTACAAATAAAAATTCACCTTGCACTGCTTTTATTTCATTGTTTACGGCGATACACCAGCTGATGATAGCGTCATTCATCTGTTTACTGAGTTTTATGCTCACATACTAAAGACAGTGAGAAGAAAAAAATGAAGAGATTTTTAAAAGAAATTTGGAAAAAGTGTATTATATCAAAGGCCAGTCTCAACAACAATTTAGGAAAACTAGCTCAATTGGTGTTGCTAGCTATGAACACTAGCTAACGTTATGCCTCCACGACCCATTCCCTTATATGATAACAGAATTTTACTTCTAGATTAATGTAATGTTTTATGTCAACATAAGAATTTTATCCAAAAAGTCGGGGGTCGACTTATACACGTGTGTGTGTGTGTGTGTGTGTGTTTTGTATAAAACTAAATTTTTACAACAAAAATACATGTACCAGTACTGTATTGGTATACTACAGTATTAATGAAAAATAATATATTTTCAGTTTAAATAATTAATTTAAATGAATGTAAAATGAATAAACATTCAAAAAGATTTTATTTTCCAGTTCCAGAGACATGGGAGTCGCACTTCACAAGAGCGATTTGTAAAACCCATTGCTCCTCCCCCTAGCAGTTCTGCTCTACTGGCCACTCCAGCCTCACATCACCCTGCATCTAGCACATCAGGATCATCAAATTCCACACCTCCACATCATCCTCCACCTGTTCCAGCACCCCAGCTACCATCTTCTCCACATCCAGTTGCTCCTCCCTCACCAATGGATGTTAGCCGTAATTGATGGAGAGGACCTTGGGTTGTTGGAGAGGGTCTTGTGTGGTTTCTAGAAAGGTTGCTAGCAGGCTTTTTGTCCTGATAGACTTGGAGCATTTTTACCTCCATTTTGTTGAGTCTTGATGGTCTTATTTGTTGTGAAAAATGTGATACAGATGTTTCTGATGTGGAAGATATAAACAGACAGATCCAGAAGCTACAACAATGAAGGTAATTGTGGCCCAGACAACACAGTGAACAATTTATGCCACAGATGTTTCATTAGAAAAGTTATACTTCTGGTACTTCTGGAGTCTTAAGCCTGGGAGCTAGTGGCAGTTGCATTGTGGCAGTTATTGGGTTTATTGTTTGAGCCAAATATGTGATATATATGAGATAATAATAGAGAGAAAGTGAGTAAAAGTCAGATGAGTAGATTGCAGAATGAAATTTTAACCAGTAGTAGTATAATAATTTTCAAGCATGTACGATTGAAGTGTTACGTGTTCTCTCTCTCTCTCTCTCTCTCTGTCGCTCTGTCGATTGTGATATGAAAACTACTGATGTTTTGTGCTGATGCAGTAACACTGTCTTTAGTAGAATTTTGAGCTGACTTGTTTTACAACAGAGAAGTAACGCCAGTACTTCAATTGATCTTGACACAGTTGACAAGAAATATTTTTTTTCACAGTTACTTGAATTTTGATACATATGCTCATATTAGCACAAACAATTCCTGGAATTAGTAGAAGTGTGATCTGTTATCAATAATTAGTATAGATAATTGTGTCTTGGTTAATTTAAGTGATGGTGTGTGAAACTAGTTTGGCTACTTCTTTATATCCCTTTTATGTATTGGGAAGCAAGCAGAATGAGAGTCTGATGCACTGAGTGTTGTTATTTTTTGGTTTCTCACTTCTCATGTTAAATTTTACAGTTATGCAATTAAAATGTTATTATAGAATGTGAACTGACCAACAGCTTCGTGTGGTGCACTCTTCACGCTCATGGTAGGTCTACTATACCTCTGAATAATGGTAATTGAAATATAATGCAAGATCCATTGTGATAAGTCAGATAGTGTGCTTTTTCTTGTAATTCAGATTGCACTTTACATATTCAGGAAATAAGAGTTCCTTTATTCTTGGAAATATTATTCATCACATTTAATTTTCAAATGAATTGTTTGAGTAGCTGCATAATGCTTTTACGAATAGCACCATATAATATTTTTTCTTCTAATCCTTGTTATTTATATTTACTTTTGGGTACTTTAGTAGGAAAACTACAACTGGCTTTACATATTTACAAGATTTTAAGAAGTGGATGATTGTCAAGAATTGAAGTGGAACCCCATTAACCAGTGGGCTAATATAGAAAATGCTGGAGAGTTATATTGCTTACTTTTTTGTTTAATGATTACGATCATTATGACTTTCATAGTAGATATTTAGAATAATGTAAAAATTTAGGTGCTTGTAAGTTCCTGATTACAGTAAATAGATATACTGTACTGTATTGAAAAAGGATATATTAATTTTAGGCAAGTACACCCTCTTCCTCCCAGTTAGAAATATGTGTATTTAAACTATATATATGCAAGGAAACCATACAAAAATTTCTCCATTCATTATTAATACTCTTACAACTTTGAACTATACAGAATTTACAACTCACAGCCAGTCTTCTTCAATATGTACACAACCTTGTTATTGAACTTCCCCACAAACTCTCAAGGAGGTGATGCAGTTATTTTTATATAATATCCCTTTTGTATTCACTTTTCTACTTTTTCATTAGAGCTCAAGATGACACTGCTTAATTTAACATCTATTACTGTACTACATTTGTACTTCCATATCACAAAAACTGTTTTAGATTTTTGTTTTTTCTTTGTAGATTTCTAAATTTCACATGTCTTCAAAAGGTCTATCTTGAAGACTATACATAGACTATGTAAAACAACATCTGAGGGGCTTTAGGTTTCTTAAATTTGTAACAAATAAGTTTAGATTCATTGGAAGTTTTTGTACTGAAGAATCTTTTTTCAAAGGAAAGAAAGAAGAGCGAGGGGTAATTATAAACTGGCTATAATCTTCATTAATCATTATCCCGGGCCCATATTTATTGTCAGTTTTCCAGCCCAACTAGTTTTTCATATCTTTGTAGTACCCTGTGCATGCTGTCTGATGTAACCATTTGAATTCTCTCAAATTTTTTTTTTAAAACCCTTTAGACTCCACCAGTGTCAGAAATTTCTTTGTAAATTCCTTATAAATTCTTTGCAGAACATTACCTCCAGTCATATCTTCCTTTTTTATCTCTTATTAATTAAAGTTGGCTCGTGGTCTCGGTCATCTACATTTTTTTGTCCCTATTAAGTCAAGGAGACACCCTTTGTATACTGCACATATGTTAATAATGAAAATATGTGAATATATACATTGTCAAATGTTGTAATGTCCTCGTTCAACTATTAACGTTATGCACGACGAGTTAGTTTCCAACCAGTGCTGTTTGGATATACTGTATGTACTATTTTAAAATAAGAAATTAAGTCTTACATTAGTAATTATTCTGTTATATGGTTTTGCTCTTCAATTATGTCTAGCTGTACCATCAGTCATCTAACAGTGATAAACATTCAACTTAAGATGAATTATGGTTTGTTGTTGTCTGTCCATTTGTTAATCTTTTTTGTAACTCATATTGACTCTTTGTTGATGCAGGGTCACTGATGTTGGTATGGTAGTGTATCTTGGAGTGAGGGTATTGCAAACCACACATTTCTGGCTTCAGTGCACACCAGTTAGGGTACCAAACATTGTGCTTATACAGGTATGGAGGTGTGTCATTATTGTGACTTACATTATATACCTTTACTGAACATCAAAAGTATAATAATCTCTTGCCCTTATCTTACCCCATTTCATGAGACCCTAAAGGTAGCATGAGTTCAAGTCCCACTTCACAAAATGATACTTGGTTGAAGAATACTATGCCCAAGGTATGCAGCCATTCTCAGTTGCCCAGAAGGGCATAGTATGTGCCATTAATGGCGCTGTATTGCAATCCTGCCATAGACTTTCCACCTTCTGCAAAGTGTTGTTGTAACTATAGACAGGTAATGATTAATTTGTGGATGTTTCCCCCTGACAGTGGAAAAATCTCAACATTTCTCCAGGTTTAAGATTATAACTGTTTCAAGCTTTTACAATATTCATGATGCTTTATGCTCTGCCTCATCTTTTCCTTTGTATCTCCAGTACTTGGTATACTCCCTGTTACTAATTTGTGATATACTACCAGACACTCTTATGATGTATGATATGCTCCTCAGACAATTACCATGCTTTTATATGCTCCCACAGACACTACGATGAATTATCATATGGTCCTCTGACAATACCATGATTTATGATGTGCTCCCCAGACTTTACCATAACATATGATAAGCTTCCCAGACTTTACCATAACATATGATAAGCTTCCCAGGCTGTACCATAACTCATGACATGTTTCCTGGACACAACCATAATTTATTAATCCATTTTGAAATCCTGATCTTGGTATTAGTGTTCATGTACCCTCATTTCCTTATCTGCTTGACCTTGAAAACAAAGTATGGTATTTTGTTCATTTCATCAGCTTAAAAGATATAATAGGTAATTTATTGAATGGCAGACCACTTTGAGGTACTGGCTGATTAATCAGATATAATCAAGATGAAGCATAGAAGATTTATTTCATTATGTTTTTTAGCAGAACGAGTGGTATTATGAGTTATTTTCATTCCTTGCACATAGCATCACAAGGAAGTAGGAACATATGGCTATGTTTAAAGTCTTCTGTTTCCTTGACTTTTGGGAGGGAATTGTGTGTGTGTGTGATTTATCATGTTTTTACAGCTTCCATATTACAATGCATAGGAAGACACACGTTGACTTTTCTGACCAGTCGAGTCTTACATTTGTTTACTAATAGGTAATTTGTTCAGTGACTTATAAATGGTTTTATAGTAATATATTGCAGTTATCTTTCACCAGTCTCTATTTACACAACACCCTCTGCTGAGTGGCTCTTTTTAATGCTAATGGTTCAACATGCCATACCCCCCCTTGGCAGCTGGTGGCTGATCTCACTCTTGCCTATTCTTCCACATCTTATCCATCAAATGAAAGATGTTAGATTCAAAGATTGCCCACTAGAGGTAGGAGATCTAATCAGAGCACACATCCAACCTGTCAGTGTACAAACCCATCCAGCTACCTTTATTGGGATTAAAAAAAATGGTTACTTTAGGCTTTTCATTAGTGGGAAATTTTTAGTATAAGTTTTCCTGTTTCATCATGTACACACAGGTCAGGATCATGAAAAGTTCAAACAGATGTATAGTTAAGGTGGAACCATCTGAATGGCTGTTAGGTGATGAGTCCTTTCCTTGGATTAATTCTCTAGGGTTAATCTCTTGGATTTGGATGCAATGGCAAATTATTGAAAGTCTCCAGATTTCGTTTCTTCTATTCTTCAAGACAGTGCTAATGGAGTGGATACTTTTGCCATGGATTGCGACTCTGGGACTTGGAAATTGATTTATACCATTTTTCCCAATTTCCAGTTTATTTCAGATCTTAAGCAAACTAAAATTGTTTCATGGGTTATAGTTTTAGTAGCTCATATTTGGTCAAACATGAATTAGTTTACTATTCTACATTAATTTTGTCCAAAACTTCTTCAGGTTCCTATACAGTATAGTACTAATTTTGTGTCAAAGGGGGGATGAAAGTAAAGTTTTTGGTTCCCTTCCTTGGTTGTATACAATTTATGTTTGAAAGTTTTATGGTTATGTTGTTTACTTAGGAATCTTAGTTGTGGACCTACTTTGTAGTCTAATGGTGGCTCTCACATCAACCTAGTGGGCAAAGGTTCAAGTTCCCATGTGATTCCACATCTTCTGTACGGGCAAGCAGGATATTAATGAATGAGAAGTTGGAAATGGCTTCCCCAAGCAAATTTAAAAGGAAGAGTGTGATGTCCATGCTAAAGGTTTATTATTTTTATGGTGGTTCCATGATAAGCTTAACAACTGTACAATAAAAAGTTGTCTGATCAGTATTTAATTCAGTACAGAACTTGACATCTGTATAGTGTGGTTGGAATAGCTCTCTTGGAGTGCATTGTCTGCCTTGCTCTGGAGCTTTTGTAATACCATCATCTCCCTCTTTTAAGCTGGCTTTTGTAATGAGATGCACAGTGGAGGGTGTTATGCTGAAATGGGATTGATAATGAATTTCTAGTTTTTGGCAGATTATCCACACTGATCTTATACTTTCTTCCTCCCTTGGGTTCATGTGAAGATACTGTAGCTAGGAAACTACTTGGATCCAAGATGGTGGATTTGTACTGTAATCATGGAAGATGTAGTTGTTTGTTTGTCTGTGCTGATTGGGTTGAACGTTGCTCTAATTAGACATCATATTTTCGGAGGGCAACCTTGCCTCTAGTCTCCCTCCATTGTGACTAAAGGATGTGATGGAGAGGATGGGTGATGGTAAGGTCAGCCCCAGGTGCCACATGGGGTAAAGTAAGATGGACCACCTTGCCATTTCACATAAGTGGAGTAGCAAGAGCCACTCATGTAGACTGGACTAAAAATGGGATTTCAAAGTCATTCTCTCATTTTTGTGGAGTGGAGCTTTTAAACATACAGGCAATACAGGTGTATCACATGTTCTTTATTGACTAATGACCCCATTGTCAGTTTTATATAAATCATTATTATTATTATTATTATTATGGGAAGAAAGGTTAATTGGTTCCATGGATTATCTTACAAAAATTTATCTGTGTTACTGTACAGTACAGCACTATGATCACTAAATTTTCCAGTATGTTGCAAAATTTTTGTTCAGTGCTAATACAGTACAGTATACTTGTAGCACATTTGTCCCCATTTTATTGTGCTGACTTCAACATTGCTTCATATTTTGATACTTGTATAAGTTAATTGTTATCCAGATTTTTTACTGATGTATTGATACTGAAATAATTTATTTGGTCAAAACATACAGATACAGAGGACAATATTGACATGGCTGAACCAGTCAAGAGCCTGAGCCTGAGGTGAATATAATTTATAAGGGTGAACTAATAACTGACTGAGCCTTTCTCAAATTGAATCATTTTGGGGGGGGGATGAAGAAGACACTGCATTTGAATTCAAATTTTAGATAGAAGTTGCATAACAGGGTTTATGTAATCACAGTTATGAGGGAGCAAACATTGATTAGCTGCTTTGTTAGTTTATTCAAATATTGACTGCTTTAGAAGTTGGGTTTATCCTGTAGACCTTTTATGGTGAAAACTGCAGCAACTAGCAATTTAAACATAGCACTTTTAATTGGAGCAGTTTTGTAATGTGGTCAATGCAGCTTTTATATCATATCACAAATATATTGGTCTGTATTATAATCCTGCTAGGTGTCAGAATCATGGATAAATATCAGTTATGTAGGTACACCATGATTATTGAAATATGCTAATGCTTATTGTAATCAAAGAATTAGCAAATCACTATATAGATCACTATACTGATTATATGTTATGACCTCACTAAGCAGTACATGGGTTATTTAATGCTTTGAAACTTCATGATAACAAGACCCAAGCAATACTTTTATAGAAATACATTATGTGTGAGTCTTATAGTAGTTTACATGTTTTATAACAGTAACAGAAAACTACGATTTGTAAGTACTATCGCACCTCTTATAACGGACGAGATACATTCTTGAGGCTGGTCTGCTAAATGAAATGTCCGTAAAAAGGGGCCATTATAACATGGTGTTTATGGAGATGTGTTCATGCAAATAGCGAAATTAGTTGAAATGATAAATAAATCCCTTTAAATATTACTATTTTCTAACAGAATGACTAAATAAGGATTACATGTGCCAAAATATGTCTCAACATTACAAAAAAGTTGGTTACATAGATATACACGTGATTTTCCACTACCATCTCTGTACGAAAAGTAAACATTAAGCGACTAACAGACAGCTCCAGCCCAACGATAATAAAACAACAGAAATGGCTGTCATGAGGTGACAAGGCTAAATTTAATAACACTCGCCAGTTAATTTGTTTGGAGGTTGCGGTTATTGAGTACGGTGGAGGAAGCCAAGCCAAGCAACAGACCAATACCAACCTGACGTTTGGCTGCCTTAACCCTTCGTATCACTTTCATTTTCACAACCATAGTAATAGCTTTCCTGGGCACCTTGGCTGCTTTACCAACATAATCACTTGCAGGCCATTTCCCAGACATAATGGGCGGACAAAAAATGTTCCTAAAAACACACACACAGATGGTAAAAACATGGAGACCTTCCGGGATACAACAGACAGGAAACTTGGCGGGATACTGTATGCATTTTGAGACGATCGCTGTTTGACTAAGAGGATGTAAACAACAAAGATGGCAGCAGACTTTATCATTTGATCTTTTTCACTGATTTTTTATTTATTTTTTCTTGAATGAAAATATAATTACTATTACTGTATACAGTACAGGTATTCCTCGACTTACGACTGCCACAGTCATATAAAATAATTTTCAAATTACGTATTTTCGAGTCCCGACGTTAGTGATCGCGCTGTGTACTGACAAAATTTGTGTTTGTAATTCCCTTTAAATTGGCTGGCAAGAGTAAAAGTGAGAGTTCTTGTGGTGCTGAAAAGAAAAAGAGACGCCCATTTTAGATTTTCTATGCATTATTTTCGCATTTTTGACTTACGACCAATTCGACTTACAACCTGGTTGTCGGTCCCTAACCCCGTCGTAAGTCGAGGACTGACTGTATTAAATAAATATTTTTTTCATATTTGTTCAACTAGGCTCCGTTAA